TAGAAAGAGTATAATCAGAAGCAGAGAGAGATAAAATGATATAGCTACTTTGAAAAGCAGTTTGAGAGTTTCTTAAAATATTCAACATAAACTTACTATGTGAGCAAGAATAAGTATGGTATTGGGAGGCTTTGGTTGGGTGGCATTAACTTTGTAGTCAAGGATTCTAATCAAAGAAGAAACATGAATAACTAACAAGTGCAGGAAAAGATACTCAACATTATTAGTCATTAAGGAAGTGCCAGTTAAAATCACAATGAGATATCACTTCATATCTACTAGGATGGTTATAATCTAAAAGACTGAAAATGCCAAGTGTTGATGAGAATGTGGAGAAATTGGGAACTTCATACATTGTTGGTGGGAAAATAAAATTATACAACCACTTTGGAAAACAGTTTGAGAGTTACTTAAAATATTCAACATAAACTTACTATATGAGTCAGACATTTCACTCCTAAGTATCACCAACCAAAATGACAATATATGTCCACTCAGAAATTTGTACATGAATGTTCATTAACATTATTCATAATAGCGCCCAGATACAAACAACTCAAATGTTTATCAGTTGGTGAGTGGATAAAGAAAATATGGTATATCCATACAACAGATGCTGCTCAGCAATAAGAAGGAACAAGCTACTGACATATTGTGCAACTTCATGGATGAACTTCAAAAGCATCATGTTAAATGAAAAAAGCCAGACACAAAGGAGTCCCTTTGTGTCTGTTTGTATGTGTTCCACAAAAGGCAACTCTATAGAGATAGAGAGCTGCTTAGTAGTTGTCTGAGGCTAGGAGTGAGGACAGGAATTGACTCAAATGAGCACTAGGGAACTTTCTGGGGTGAGAGAAATATTCTAAAACAAGTTTGTGGCAATGGCCACACAACTCTGTAAATTTACTAAAAATCATTGACTCGCACACTACAACAAGTTAATTGTGTGCTATGTAAATTATACCTCAATAAGGCTGTGAGACTGAGAAGGTTTAAATAAAATCATGGTTCTACTACTATCCAGCTATGAGACTTGGACAAGTTATCTCAGCTTCATAAACTCTATTTTCCCACATGCAAAATATTTTCCCAACTGATAAAAATAGTACAGTGGCTACGCAGTGTAGACTAAGTACGGTCATGCAGTAAAACACAGAGCACATGATAATTGCTCAGTTAATGTTAGTTCTTGTTATTATTAGTATTGTCAGAATACAGTGAAGAGATCTGCCTGACACGATGAACTGACAGCCCATATCAACAGCATGAGAAGTAGGGGACAGTAAGTGAGGTGGGATCAGTTGTGAGAGACTGTCTTACTTGTATTTACTTTCAAAAGTTGCATGGAGACTTGGAGGGAAGAGAAGATCTCAAATCCCAAACTGGAAAGGAGGTAACTATGGTACTATTTTTTTGGGGGGGTATCATTAATCTACAATTACATGAGGAATATTATGTTTACTACACTTCTCCATCACCAAGTCCCCCTCACAAACCCCACTACAGTCACTGTCCATCAGCGTAGTAAGATGCTGTAGAATCACTACTTGTCTTCTCTGTGTTGCACAGCCCTCCCCGTGTCCCCCACACATTATACCTACTAATCATAATGCTCCTTTTCTCCCCCCCACACCTTATCCCTCCCTTCCCACCCATCCTCCCCAGTCCCTTTCCTGTTAGTCCATTCTTGGGTTCTGTGATTCTGCTGCTGTTTTGTTCCTTCAGTTTTTTCTTTGTTCTTATATTCCACAGATGAGTGAAACCATTTGGTAATTGTATTTCTCTGCCTGGCTTATTTCACTGAGCAAAATACCCTCTAGCTCCATCCATTTTGTTGCAAATGGTAGGATTTGTTTTCTTCTTATGGCTGAATAATATTCCACTCTGTATATGTACCACATCTTCTTTATCCATTCATCTACTGATGGACACTAGGGTTGCTTCCATTTCTTGGCTATTGTACATAGTGCTGTGATAAACATAGGGGTGCATCTGTCTTTCAAACTGGGTGCTGCATTCTTAGGGTAAATTCCTAGGAGTGGAATAACTGGGTCAAATTGTGTTTCTATTTTGAGTTTTTTTGAGGAACCTCCATACTGCTTCCACAATGGTTGAACCAGTTTACATTCCCACCAGCAGTGTAGGAAGGTTCCCCTTTCTCCACAACCTCCCAACATTTGTTGTTGTTTGTCTTTTGAGTGGTGGCCATCCTTACTGGTGTGAGGTGGTATCTCATTGTGGTTTTAATTTGCATTTCTCTGATGACTAGCGATGTGGAGCATCTTTTCATGTGTCTATTGGCCATCTAAATTTCTTCTTTGGAGAACTGTCTGTTCAGCTCCTCTGCCCATTTTTTTATTGGATTATTTGCTTTTTGTTTGTTGAGGTGCATGAGCTCTTTATATATTTTGGATGTCAACCCTTTATTGGATCTATCATTTATGAGTATATTCTCCCACACTGTAGGATGCCTTCTTGTTCTGTTGATGGTGTCTTTTGCTGTACAGAAGCTTTTCAGCTTGATATACTCCCACTTGCTCATTTTTGCTTTTGTTTCCCTTGCCCGGGGAGATATGTTCATGAAGAAGTCACTCATGTTTATGTCCAAGAGATTTTTGCCTATGTTTTTTTCTAAGAGTTTTATGGTTTCATGACTTACATTCAGGTCTTTGATCCATTTCGAATTTACATTTGTGTATGGGGTTAGACAGTGATCCAGTTTCATTCACTTACATGTAGCTGTACAGTTTTGCCAACACCAGCTGCTGAAGAGGCTGCCATTTCCCCATTGCATGTCCATGGCTACTTTATTGCATATGAATTGACCATATATGTTTGGGTTAATATCTGGACTCTCCATTTGTTCTACTGCTCTGTGGGCCTGTTCTTGTGCCAGTACCAAATTGTCTTGATTACTGTGGCTTTGTAGTAGAGCCTGAAGTTGGGGAGTGAGATCCCCCCCACTTTATTCTTCCTTCTCAGGATTGCTATGGCTATTCGGGTGTTTTGTGGTTCCATATGAATTTCAGAACCATTTGTTCCAGTTCATTGAAGAATGCTATTGGTATTTTGATAGAGATTGCATTCAATCTGTAGATTGCGTTAGGCAGGGTGGCCATTTTGACAATAATCATTCTTCTTAGCCAAGAGCATGGGATGAATTTCTATTTGTTAGTGTCTCTTCAATTTCTCTTAAGAGTGTCTTGTAGTTTTCAGGGTACAGGTCTTTCACTTCCTTGGTTAGGTTTATTCCTAGGTATTTTATTCTTTTTGATGCAATTGTGTATGGAATTGTTTTCCTGATTTCTCTTTGCTAGTTTATCATTAGTATATAGGAAAGCAACAGATTTATGTGTGTTAATTTTATATCCTGCAACTTTGCTGAATTCAAATATTTGTTCTAGTAGTTTTGGAGTGGAGTCTTTAGGGTTTTTTATGTACAGTATCATGTCATCTGCAAATAGTGAGAGTTTGACTTCTTCGTTACCAATCTGGATGCGTTTTATTTCCCTGTGTTGTGCAACTGCTGTGGCTAGGACCTCCAGTACTATGTTGAATAACAGTGGGGAGAGTGGGCATCCCTATCTTGTTCCCAATCTTAGGTGAAAAGCTTTCAGCTTCTTGCTGTTAAGTATGATGTTGACTCTGGGTTTGTCACATATGGCTTTTATTATGTTGAGGTACCTGCTCTCTCTACCAATTTTGTTGAGAGTTTTTATCATGAATGGATGTTGAATTTTGTCAAATGCTGTTTCAGCATCTATGGAGATGATCATGTGGTTTTTGTCTTTCTTTTTCTTTATGTGGTGGATGATGTTGATGGATTTTCCAATGTTGTACTATTCTTGCATCCCTGAGATGAATCCCACTTCATCATGGTGTATGATCCTCTTGATGTATTTTTGAATTTGGTTTGCTAATATTTTGTTGAGTATGTTTGCATCTATGTTCATCAGGGATACTGGTCCGTAATTTTCTTTTTTGGTGGGATCTTTGCCTGGTTTTGGTATTAGAGTCATGCTGGCTTCATAGAATGAGTTTGGAAGAATTCCCTCCTCTTCTGTTTTTTGGAAAACTTTAAGGAGAATGGGTATTATGTCTTCTCTAAATGTCTGATAAAATTCTGTGATGTATTCATCTTGCCCAGGAGTTTTGTCAAGACGGACACTACAGAAATACAAAGAATTATTAAAGAATACTATGAAAATCCGTATGCTAACAAACTGGATAACCTAGAAGAAATGGAGAACTTTCTAGAAAAATACAACCTTCCAAGGCTGACCAAGGAAGAAACAGAAAATCTGAACAGACCAATTACCAGCAATGAAATTGAACTGGTAATCAAAAACTTCCCTAAAAACAAAACCCCTGGACCAGATGGCTTCACCGCTGAATTTTATTGAACATTTAGTGAAGACCTAATACCCATTCTCCTTAAAGTTTTCCAAAAAATAGAAGAGGAGGGAATACTTCCAAACTCATTGTATGAAGCCAGGATCACTCTACTACCAAAACCAGGCAGACACCACAAAAAAGAAAATTACAGACCAATATCCCTGATGAACATAGATGCAAAAATACTCAACAAAATACTAGCAAACTGAATTCAAAAATACATCAAGAGAGCCGCTGCCCTCTGCCCTGCCTCCACCTCTCCCCGCCCTGCGGAAGGGCAATCTCGCCGCCTCCCGCACTGGTGGCAGCAGCCCGGGCATGGACGCCCGGCGGGAGCAGGAGACAGTGCGGTGGCTGCAGTGGGACAAGCTTGATTCGTTCTTGAGCCTTTCACTCCTGGCTTGTTCCTGAGGGCATGCTGTTTGTTTTCCCAGAAGATTCCTTTCTGCCCTCTTCTGCTGAACTTGTTTCTCATGTTGTTACTCATGTTTCTGGTCTGGACTTACATGGAACATATGCAGAGAGGCCTTCCCTGACTCCCAATGAATCCTTTAACTTTGGAGTCTGTGAAACAACTAATTGCAGAAGGTAATAAAGAAGAACTACAGAAATGTTTTGGAGCCTGAATGGAGTTTGGGACAGCAGGTCTTCGAGCTGCTGTGGGAGTGGGATTTTCACATATGAACGACTTGACCATCATCCAGACTACACAGGGATTTTGCCAATACCTGGAAAAGGAATTTGGTGACGTGAAGCAAAGAGGTGTCGTGATAAGCTTTGATGCTCGAGCTCATCCACCAAGTGGAGGCAGCAGCAAAGGATTTGCCCTTCTTGCTGCAACCACATTTATCACTCAGGGGATTCCTGTGTACCTCTTTTCTGGCATAACCCCCCACCCACCCCCTTTGTGCCCTACACAGTCTCACATTTGAAACTTTGTGCTGGAATCATGATCACTGCCTCTCACAATCCAAAGCAGGATAATGGTTATAAGGTCTACTGGGCTAATGGAGCTCAGATCATCTCTCCTCATGATAAAGGGATTTCTCAAGCTATTGAGGAAAATCTAGAGCCATGGCCCCAATCGTGGGATGATTCTTTAATTAATGGCAGTCCACTTCTTCATGACCCAAGTGCTTCCATCAGTAAGAGCTACTTTGAAGACCTTAAAAAGTACTGTTTTCACAGGAGTGTGAACAGGGAGACCAAGGTGAAGTTTGTGCACACCTCTGTCCATGGTGTGGGTCACAAGTTTGTGCAGTCGGCTTTCCAGGCTTTTGACTTCGTGCCTCCTGAGGCTGTGCCCGAACAGAAAGATCCTGACTCCGAGTTCCCAAACGTGAAATACCCAAATCCCGAAGAGGTAAAGACTTTATCTTTTGCTTTGGCTGACAAAATCAACGCCAAAATCATTTTGGCAAATGATCCAGATGCTGATAGACTTGCTGTGGCAGAAAAGCAAGACAGTGGTGAATGGAGAGTGTTTTCGGGCAATGAGCTGGGGGACCTCTTGGGCTATTGACTTTACTTCTTGGAAAGGAAAGAACCAAGATCACAGTGCCCTCAAAGACACATACATGTTGTCCAGCACCATCTCCTCCAAAATCTTGCAGGCCATTGCCTTAAAGGAGGGCTTTCACTTTGAGGAAACATTAACTGGTTTTAAGTGGATGGGAAACTGAGCCAAACAGCTTATAGACCGGGGGAAAAATGTCTTATTTGCATTTGAAGAAGCTATCGGATACATGTGCTGCCCTTTTGTTCTGGACAAGGAGGGAGTCAGTGCTGCTGTCATAAGCGCGGAGTTGGCCAGCTTTCTAGGAACCAAGAATTTGTCTTTGTCTCAGCAGCTAAAGACCATTTATGTTGAGTATGGCTACCATATTACTAAAGCTTCATATTTTATCTGTCATGATCAAGGCACCATTAAGAAATTATCTGAACACCTTCGAAACTATGATGGGAAGAATAATTATCCAAAAACGTGTGGCAAATTTGCAGTTTCTGGCATTAGAGACCTTACGACCGGCTATGATGATAGCCAACCTGATAAAAAAGCCGTTCTCCCTACTAGTAAAAGCAGCCAAATGATCACATTTACCTTTGCTAATGGGGGCATGGCCATCATGCGAACCAGTGGAACAGAACCCAAAATCAAGTACTATTCGGAACTGTGTGTTCCCCTGTAAATAGAAGAGAGTCAAGCATCAGGAAAAATAATTTTTAAAGGTTAAGTCAACATTGTCCAATAGAAATGAAATGTGAGCCACATACGTAATTTGAAATTTCCTACTAGAAGCATTTTAAAATGGTATAAAGGAACAGTGATCCTGAGCAGCTGAAGAAAGAACTAAATGAACTAGTCAGTGCTATAGAAGAACATTTTTTCCAGCCACAAAAGTATAACCTGCAGCCAAAGGCAGAGTAAAATATTCCAGTTCTGGGCATAATTACATTTACCTGCAATTAAGTTGAACTTGATTTGTTAAGCAATATTTTTGAGGACCAAATGGTTTAAACTAGAGATACAGTATTTTTTTTAAGAGACATGCATTCCTCGTTGTCCTATTGTTTGATCTTTAAGGTAGATAAAGAAAAGATGGCCAAATGTAACAACTTCTATTAAAAAATTGAGCCTGGGCATTATCTGAATTTAAAAAATGAAGATTTTAAAAATAACTAACTCTCAAAAATATATTGTAATTAATATGCTTTTATTAGAAGTAACAAATATTCATCTTCCTTATAATTCTTTTCATGGAAGTAGCCTGAAAACCTATACAATTACTAAATGCTGGACTGTCTTGTATAGGATAGCCACTTTAGAAGTATACTTATATTTACATTTCTATCAGTTGCTTATAAATAAAATGAACATATCAATGCTGTGTTCATGTTTAAAAATAATTCACACAAACATGTAAAGTGGAGCAAAAATACTTTAAGAAGATAAGGTTTTCTGACCAAAAAATTTTTAGTTCTAATAATACACCATTATATATTGTATATGTGCTAGGAAAAAACAGTTAAACCATCTTTGTTTAATGTGTTAACATTCGTTTTATCTCTTGTAATCTTGAATCAAACCACTGGTTATTGGATACTTGCACAGCATTTTATTGTACAGTTTGCTTAAGCATAGTTTAATATACTTCTTGGTCCTGAGGCAGGAAGGAGAATAAGCAATAACTATTTACCTGACTTGGATTTTTTTTATTGCCTTGTTTATTTGTGATTGAAATCTAAAATAAGACTTTATTAAAACAGATTTCCTTTTGAAAAAAAAATACATCAAGAGGATCATACACCATGGTCAAGTGGGATTCATCTCAGGGATGCAATGATGGTACAACATTCAAAAATGTATCAACATCATCAACTACATCAACAAAAAGGACAAAAACCACATGATCATCTCCATAGATGCTGAAAAAGCATTTGACAAAATTCAACATGCATTCATGATAAAAACTCTCAACAAAATTGGTAGAGAGAGCAGGTACCTCAACATAATCAAGGCCGTATCTGACAAACTCACATCCAACCTTATACTTAATGGCGAGAAGCTGAAAGCTTTTCAATCAGGAACAAGACAAGGATTCCCACTCTCCCCACTTTTATTCAACATGGTAGTGGAGGTCCTAGCCACAGCAATCAGACAACACCGGGAAATAGAAGGCATCCAGATTGGTAAAGAAGAAGTCAAACTGTCACTATTTGCATATGATATGACATTGTACATAAAAAACCCTAAGGAATCCAGTCCGAAACTACTAGAATTAATATCTGAATTCAGCAAAGTTGAAGGATACAAAATTAGTAACAGAAATCTGTTGCATTCCTATACACTAACAATGAACTAGCAGAAAGAGAAATCAGGAAAACAATTCCATTCACAATTGCATCAAAAAAGAATAAAATACCTAGGAATAAACCTAACCAAGGAAGTGAAAGAGTATACCCCTAAAACTACAAGACTCTCTTAAGAGAAATTAAAGAGACACTAACAAATGGAAATTCATCCCATGCTCTTGGCTAGGAAGAATTATTATTGTCAAAATGGCCACCCTGCCTAACGCAATCTACAGATTGAATGCAATCTCTATCAAAATACCAATAGCATTCTTCAATGAACGGGAACAAATGGTTCTGAAATTCATATGGAACCACAAAACACCCGAATAGCCATAGCAATCCTGAGAAGGAAGAATAAAGTGGGGGGGATCTCACTCCCCAACTTCAGGCTCTACTACAAAGCCACAGTAATCAAGACAATTTGGTACTGGCACAAGAACAGGCCCACAGAGCAGTAGAACAAATGGAGAGTCCAGATATTAACCCAAACATATATGGTCAATTGATATATGATAAAGGAGCCATGGATATACAATGTGGAAATGACAGCCTCTTCAATAGCTGGTGTTGGCATAACTGGACAGCTACATGTAAGTGAATGAAACTTGATCACTGTCTAACCCCATACACAAATGTAAACTTGAAATGGATCAAAGACCTGAATGTAAGTCATGAAACCATAAAACTCTTAGAAAAAAATATAGGCAAAAATCTCTTGGACATAAACATGAGCAACTTCTTCATGAACATATCTCCCTGGGCAAGGGAAATAAAAGCAAAAATGAATAAGTTGGGACTATATCAAGCTGAAAAGCTTCTGTACAGCAAAGGACACCATCAACAGAACAAAAAGGCATCCTACAGTATGGAAGAATATATGCATAAATGACAGATCCAATAAAGGGTTGACATCCACAATATATATAAAGCTCACACACCTCAACAAACAAAAGGCAAATAATCCAATTAGAAAAGCGCAGAGGAGCTGAACAGACAGTTCTCCAAAGAAGAAATTCAGATGGCCAACAGGCACATGAAAATATGCTCCACATCGCTAATCATCAGAGAAGTGCAAATTAAAACCTCAATGAGATACCACCTCACATCAGTTAGGATGGCCACCTAAAGACAAACAACAACAAATGTTGGCGAGGATGGGGAGAAAGGGGAACCCTCCTACACTGCTGGTGGGAATGTAAATTAGTTCAACCATTGTAGAAAGCAGTATGCAGGTTCCTCAAAACACTAAAAATAGAAATGCCATTTGACCCGGAAATTCCTCTCCTAGGAATTTACCTTAAGAATGCAGGAGGAGGTGGGTGCAGCCTGGCAGGTGGATGCTAAAGGGGCGTGCCCAACAGGTGGGCACAGATGGGGCGGGACCCAGCAGCTTCCTCATTGTCCTGGTCTGCCTCATTTTCAGCGTGCTGTCCACCATCGAGCAGTATGTCGCTCTGGCCACAGGGACCCTCTTCTGGATGGAGATCATCCTGGTGGTGTTCTTTGGGATGGAGTGCGTGGTCTGCCTCTGGTCAGCAGGCTGCCGCAGCAAGTACATGGACATCTGGGGGTGTCTGCACTTTGCCCGGAAGCCCATTTCCATCATTGACCTCACTGTGGTGGTGGCCTCCATGGTTGTCCTCTGCGTGGTCTCCAAAGGGCAGGTGTTTGCCACCTCGGCCATCAGGGGCATCCGCTTTCTCCAGATTGTGAAGATGCTGCACGTGGACCGCCAGGGAGGCACATGGAGGCTGCTCGGCTCTGTGGTCTTCATCCACCGCCAGGAGCTGATCACCACCTTATACATCGGCTTCCTGGGCCTCATCTTCTCCTCCTACTTCGTGTACCTGGCTGAGAAGGACGCCGTGAACGAGTCAGGCCTGGTTGAGTTCGGCAGCTACGCGGCTGTCCTGTGGTGCGGGTGGTCACGGTCACCACCATCGGCTACGGGGACAAGGTGCCCCAGACGTGGGTCGGGAAGACCATCGCCTCCTGCTTCTCCGTTTTCGCCATCTCCTTCTTCGCGCTCCCTGCGGGGATCCTCGGCTCCAGCTTTTCCCTGAAGGTCCAGCAGAAGCAACGGCAAAAACACTTCAATAGGCGGATCCCAGCAGCAGCCTCACTCATCCAGACAGCACGGAGGTGCTCTGCAGCTGACAACCCTGAGTCCTCCACCTGGAAGATCTATGTTCGCAAGCCCTCACGGAGCCACCCTCTGCTATCTCCCAGCCCCAAGCCCAAGAAATCTGCCATGGTAAAGAAAAAAAGTTCAAACTGGACAAGGACAATGGGGTGGGTCCCGGAGAGAAGATGCTCACAGTACCCCACATCACGTGCGAACCCGTCGCAGAGGAGCGGAGGCCAGACCATTTCTCTGTGGACGGTTGTGACAGTTAGGTGAAGAAGAGCTCCATGCTGCTGGAAGTGAGCCCCACCCACTTCATGAGAACCAACGGCTTTGCTGAGGACTTGGACCTGGAAGGGGAGACGCTGCTGGCTCCCATCACACACGTGGCACAGCTGTGGGAGCACTATCGGGCCGCCATCAAGGTCATTCGGCGCATGCAGTACTTTGTGGCCAAGAAGAGGTTCCAGCAAGCATGGAAGTCCTACGAGGTGCGGGACGTCATCGGGCGGTACTCTCAGGGCCACCTCAACCTCATGGCGTGCATCAAAGAGCTGCAGAGAAGCAAGTGTGGAAGCCCTACGACGAGGCTCCAGAGGGACTGGGTGTCTTGTATTGCTGGGCACCACAGCCCCTTTGCCCACTGACAGGCCAAGTGTGTGGGTGGCACCCAGGCTGAGTGTGAGCTCACATCCGTCTCCCCCCAGGCTGGACCAGTCCATCGGGAAGCCCTCCCTCTTCATCTCCACTTCAGAGAAGAGCAAGGACCGAGGTAACAACAGCATTGGTGCCCGCCTGAACCAGGTGGAAGACAAGGTGCTGATGGAAATGTGCTGGACCTGAGCAGAGGCCACCGTGGGCTGGTGTCCTGCTCAGCCTGACCGGCTGCTTTCTCACAATCGACTGGTGCCCTCCTCGGGGACAGACCCTGGGAAAGCGCCTGGCCAGACCCAGAGGGCACAGTGCTATGTCTCAGCCCCACGTTACCACTGCAGCCATCAGGGCCATAAACAACCCCCACGCAATCTGCTGATCGTGGGGAAGCCAGGACAGGAAATGGAGCCACCACTGGGCCTCAGTACCAGGCATATCTACGGTGGCACTGCCAGCCCCCCGCCAGCCCCAGCCAGAGCCGCTGGGCTTTCTCCCACCCACAGGGTGGGCCTGGGGCAGGAGCGGAGCCTGGCCCTGGTGGTCAGAGTCGGAGCTCCAGCCCCCACATGCTTCCTCATCTCAGTCAGGCCCTAAGCTGTGACAGGGGTCCCATCCCAGGCCAGCTCACTCAGCTGCAAGAAGAGGGGCTCAGAGAGGTGTGGGCAAGGGCCTCTTGGGGTGCACAGCCACATGCCCCTACTCTTAGGAACAGATCATTCTGAGGGTCAGGAGTCTGGGCTGTCCACTTTTTGGGGTCATCATTGGGAAAGCCAGCTCAGCTTGTCCAGGGGTGCCCCATTTCCCTACAAGGAGCCCCCTATGCTCATGTCCAGGCCAGCGGCCACAAGTTTACACTTCCTGCTCACCGGAGTCCTACAGCCTGGTGGTCACTCTTGCTTGGCAGTGGGACACCCTGCTCCAACGTGGTCCCCACCACCTGTCCCCAGAGAACTCGCACGCCTGTCCAGGCCTGGCCTGGCTGTTCAGATCCACCTTGGTCCCGGGGTGTGGAGAGCAGAGAGAGCATTCCCACCGTGCTGCCAGTGCCCCCAGGGCTTCACCTGCAGATATGCAGGAGCCCACTCCCCACACCTCAAACCCGCTCCCACCGGCCTACCTTTCCTAGTGAAGGAGAAGATATAAGCCACTCCATGTGCTTCTTCTTACAAGTGGCCAGAACTACTGCACGTTCCTTCACATTGTCTTCTTTTTTCTGGAAAGGACTCTTATTTGCCCAAATAAATCCTTTTTGACAGTTGGAGAAACCAAGGCCCAGAGAGGTTGGACGGATGCCTAAGATCACACAGCCAGGTAGGTGATGAACTGGTCCCTGTGGGGCCACAGATGGTGGGGAGATGAGCTGGGGAGAGGCAGAGGAAGCCAGACAGGGTCCCATAAACACACGTGGTCTACTCAAAAAGAAGCCAGGCCTGAACACTGAGGGCCAAGGTGGGGGTTGGGGGGCAAACAGTAAGGTCTGTGGGGGTGGGAGTCAGGGGGACTGCACAGATTCAGACAGTTGGTAGCTGCCTCACCAGGCCTGGGACAGGAGGCCTGGAACACTGGCCTGGCCAGCCCCCAGCCCTGAGACCTCAGTCCCTGGGCCTGAGCCTCCTGCCCAGCCCAGGCTGGGCTGCTAGGGAGGCGGGCATCCCCTCGTTCTCTTGGGACTCAGTGGGGAAGAGGGCTGCTCCAGCCTTCCTCCCTCAGTGTGTATTCTTAGCTCGGGGTTGGTGGGGGTGGGCCGGACCTGCAGCTGTGTTTACGTTGAGCCCTGTTTATTCTGCAAGCTCAGCTCACACTGCTCTTGCTGATAGGAGCTCAGTAGGCCCGGAGAATTTCTTTCTTCTCTGTTTTTGCCAGAAATGTTCATGGCTTAGAACTGCACTCAGGAAAGTCCTGGGTTTCCAGGCCCCCATTCTGAAGGTGTGGGTGGGATGGACCCCCACCACCCAACCCTCCTTCCACTACCTCCTGGCTGAGCATGCCTTTCTCCTGGACAGGAGTGTCCTCAGCCCAGGACCCCACCACCATACCTCCCCAGGCCCCTCTGCCTCCCCTTTGGACTGGGCAGCAGACCCTATTACCCAGGACTTGGTATCCACCCACACACTGCTCCTCCTGGTCTGTCCCTTGTCCCAGAGGGACCCCCTGTCTCCACAGGCCTCCAAGCAGGCCCCTGAGTCATTGTCACCCCACCCATGCCCCCACTCGCCCATCAGGGCTGCTCATCCCTTTACCCAGCCCCACTCCCTCTTGCTGAGTTCAAGCCTTTATCATCTTAGATTATTTTTCTAGCCACCTATGTGGTCTCCAGCCTGTCTGTCCCCCACCCTTAGCTAATCCTTCACATTGTGTATTAGTTCCTGAGCACTGCTGACATCAGCTTGCTAATATTTTCTGTAAATTTTGGTGCCTATATCTGGGTATGAGATCCATACATAACGTAATTTCCCCTCTTCCATGGTCCTCATCAGGTATGGGTATCAAATTTATGTAAGCCTCATAGAAGGAGTTAAGAAGTGTGCCTTCTCTTTCTAGAATATCTTGTTTAGGATTAGAATTTTCTCCCCTTTTGAATGTTTGATGAAACTTCAAGGTACAGCCATTTATACCTGGTGTGTTTTTTGTGGGAAGATTTTTCATTCTAATTCAATGATGTCAGTGATTATGAGACTGTGCATGTTTTCCATCTTTTTTGTGTCAGTTTTGTTAAGTTGTGTATTATAGGAATTTGTACATTTCACCTTAGGTTTCAAATTCATTAGCATTTATTGTCACTTCCATGTCTGTATTATTGGTAGTGAGGTCTCTTTTTTATTGCCAGTTTTGTTGGTTTGTGCCTTCCCTTTTTCCATTGCCCGCTGTTTGCCAACCTCATTAATATTTTCAACAAACTTGCATTTTATTGATCCCGTCTGGTGGAGGTTTGGTTTCGTCCCAGGCATGTCTCTTCACTTGGCCTTAATATATTGTTCTTTTCTCTAACTTCTCAGGTTGCATGATTATTAATTTTCAGATTTTCTGGGTTTCTAAGGTGTGAATTCAAGGCTATACATTTTCCCTCTAAATACCACTCAAACTGCACCCCCCATGCATTGATATATAGCATTTAACTTTAATGCTTATTCACTTAAACATTTTTCTAATCTCCATTATGATCTCTTATTTATTCCAGGACATGACTTTTGTCACTGTTGTAATTGGGAGAGCCTTTTTTTCCTAATGTTATTGTTCTGATATAAGAGAGAGTGATGTATATTATATTAATCCTTTGAAACATTTTGAAATATGCTTTATGGCACACTATGTGGTCAGTTCCTGTAAGGGCACCCTCTGTCTTTGAATACTATGTGTATTCTGTATTTGTTGGGGGCAGTGTTATATTTATGGTCATTAGAATAACCTTGCATTTGTTTTGTTGAAATCTATATGCTCACTGGAATATTTTTAACTACTTGATCAATCATTACAGAGACATGTGTTAAAAGTACAACTAGAGTGGACAATTCATCTACTTTTTCTTATATTTTTGCCAGTTTTTACTGTTTATGTATTTTTAGATCTTACAGTTAGGTACATTTAATGTTTAAATTTTTATACATTCTCTGCTGGAGTCAATGTTTTACAATTATATAGCACCCTCTTTATCTCAAGCAGTGTATCAAAACTAAGTTTTAGAACATTTTCAACCCCCTCAAATGCCCTCAGTTTCATTTGCAATTATTGCCAGCTCCCACCCCCCAGCTACAATCTGATCTGCTTTCTGTCTCTATATTCTTAAATTTCCATAAGCCTAGAAGTGTACCTTTTCTGGATGTTTCCTGTGAATGAAAGCACACAACATGTGGTGTTTTGTGTTTAGCTTTTTCACATGGCATAATGTTCTTGGGGCTCATCTGTGTTGCACCAGGTATTTGTTCCCTTTTTCATGCTGAATAGTATTCTCTTGTGTGGATGAACCACATTTTATTTATCCATTTGCCAGTTGATGGACATCTGGATTGTTTCCAACTTTTGGCTATTATGGGTAAGGCCGCCGTGAATTTTTATCTACCAGTCTTTGTATGGACATATGTTTTCATTTCTCTTAGGTTCCTAAGAGTGGAATTGATAGTTCATATGGCAACTTTCTAAAAAGCTTCTAAGCTGTTGCCCAAAGGGTCTGTAGCATTTTGATTTCCCACCAGTAATGTGCAAAGCATCCACGTTCTCCATATCCTTGCAAATCCATGGAATGGTTGGCCCCTTTTCTATTAGCTATTCTAGTGAGTGTGTCATGGTATCTCATTGTAAGTTTGATTTGCATTTTCCTAATCACTAATGATGTTGAGCAACTTTTCATGTGCTTATTAGCCATTCATGGTCTTCTTTAGTGCCTATTTTCTAATTAAGTAGTTTGTTCTGTTATTGAATTGTAGGAGTTGTTTATATGTTCTGGATACAAGTCCTTTATCAGATATATGACTTGCAAAGATTTCTTTCCATTCTGTGGCTGCCTTTTCATTTTCTTATTTAAAAGAGAAAAAAAAAGAAAAAAAGAAAAAAACAAGAACGCAGGGGCCCAGTTTGAAAAGACCTATGTCCCCCTATGTTTATTGCAGCACTCTTTACAATAACCAAGAAATGGAAGCAACCTAAGTGTCCATCAGTAGATGAATGGATAAAAAAAGAGGTGGTACATATACACAATGGAATATTATTCAGTCAAAAGAAGAAGACAAATCCTACCATTTGCAGCAACATGGAAGGGGCTAGGGGGTATTATGCTCAGTGAAACAGGCCACGCGGAGAAAGACAAGTATCTAATGATTTCACTCATCTGTGGAATAGAAGAAAAAGAAAAAACTGAAGGAACAAAACAGCAGCAGAATCATAGAACCCAAGAATGGACTAACAGTTACCGAAGAGAAAGGGACTAGGGAGGATGGGTGGGAAGGGACGGATAACAGGGAAAAGGGGGCATTACGATTAGCACACAGAACATGGCGGGGAGCATGGGGAAGGCAGTACAACACAGAGAAGAGAAGTAGTGATTCTATAGCATCTTACTGTGCTGATGGACAGTGACTGTCGTGGGGTATGTGGGAGGGACTTGATAATGTGGGGAGCCTAGTAACCATAATGTTGCTCATTTAATTGTACATTAATGATACCTAAATTTAAAAAAATTTTAAAAGCACTCCTCTGTAGTCTTCCTGTTAGTCCCTCTCTTGCCTCTAATCTCTGCCAACCTCTGGTCTTTTTACTGCCCTTATACTTCTGCTTGTTCCAGAATGTCATTCAAGTTGGAATCATGTAATAAGAAGTCTTTTCAGATTGGCTTCTTCCACTTAGCAATATGCATTTAAGGCTCTCCTATATCTTTTCATGGTTCATTTCATTTTAACATTGAATTTAATTCTAGCGTCTGAATATACCACAGATATTTATCCCTTCACCTACTGAAGAATACCTTGTTTGCTGACAAGTGTGGGCAATTACAGTTGCCATTAACATCCTTGTGCAGGTTGTTATGTAGATGTAACTTTTCAGCTCCTTTGGGTAAACACCAAAGAGCACAATTGCTAGATTATATGGCAAGAGTATGTTTA